ACAAGTGAAAGGCTAAAACCGTACAGCTATAAGGAAATCATATCAGCAAATATTTGAGGTTTATGAGGCTGAAATATTTTAATGAATGAATCTATAATTAATGTTTAACAAGATGTCAAGTAAAGAAACATTAGACAAGCGCTTTGCCGGTATACAATAGCGCGTTGTAGTTTTTCTTTTTTTTGTCATACTTGTACTGCTAATGGCAAGTTAAACGCATTAATTATTATAGACGGGTGTTGCTAGGATTCTAAAGGTCCTGGGGCACCTTTGGCCACACCAAGGAGAGTCATAATGAGGTGCGCATAGCCAACCGCAGTGACCAAATTACATCAACAGTGGGAGGGGTTTAATGGGACATTGTTAAATATAAGCTGAGCCTGCTTGCTGTATGAGCAGTGTATATATGCTACAGTCCTTGTAACCCTACAATATGATTTCATTGCTGTGTCACAAGCAACAGTCCCACAGACACGTATACACACCTCAGCATTCAGTTACAATTGAAAAACTTCCAATACATATGATTTTGTACACACTAAAAAAAAGACAGAGAGCTAACCCTTTGTATAAGCCTACCATAAAGAAGAATTTCATTCAAATAGTCAGGGAATATTTAGCAACCAACAAGTGTTCAGGCAATTAACCCTAAAGGAGATTCTTTATTTAAAATTGCGGGTTACACTGAGGACGTTAATCAGCGCTGTACACTTACCCTACATCCTATGAGGTTCCAACAGTAACCTTTGTTTGGCAGCTTTTTAACCCTAAACCCAGGTTTAAGATTTTCTTTATATATTATATCTTTTTTCAATTAGCGCGGATTCATTCCATATACGGCTCACTGGAGTTTATTTCACAAGTAAAGGAGATTCTTTATTTAAAATTGCGGGTTACACTGAGGACGTTAATCAGCGCTGTACACTTACCCTACAATTAACCCTTTGGCCAGAAGTATATAATGTAAAATATAATGTATACACTATAGTGCAGGAGTATGTAACACGCAGAGTGAAGGGTTCATGAGTATGTACACAGAGTGCAGGGGTCATGAGTATGTACACAGAGTGCAGGGGTCAGGAGTATGTACACAGAGTGCAGTGGTCAGGAGTATGTACACAGAGTGCAGGGGTCAGGAGTATGTACACAGAGTGCAGTGGTCAGGAGTATGTACACAGAGTGCAGGGGTCAGGAGTATGTACACAGAGTGCAGGGGTCAGGAGTAGGGATGTTCAGATACCAGTGCAGATACTTGGCATTTTCATGAGAACTCCCAGGGTTGCAGCGGTTGCAGCTGTGACCTGGCTCTGGCGCTCCACCACTGTCCTGAAATCATTAGTCTGTATTGTTTTAGAAAAACTGTCACATGACAATAAACACAAATGTATCAGTGCTTGTATCTGTGAGAACATGGACAAGTATCAGTACTCGTACTTGCAAAACTGCTATTGGTGCATCCCTTTATATATGTTTATAAAAACAAAATCATACAATAAAACAGAGATGTACAAATCCCGGGAGCTCCGTGTGCTCCTTACAAATGACAGCGGCCTCCTAACTTTTGCATTTTTCTCTAGTCTAGTCTTGGAGCTGGAAAAGTATCTGTACTTGCACTTGTACCAAGTACAGTACTTGGTATCTGAACATCCCTAGTCAGGAGCATATAACACACAGAGTGCAGGGGTCAGAAGCATGCAACACACAGAGTGCAGGGGTCAGGAGTATGTAACACACAGAGTGCAGGGGTCAGAAGCATGTAACAGAGTGCAGGGGTCAGGAGTATGTAACATACAGAGTGCAGGGAACAAGGGTGCATAACGCACAAAATGCAGGGGTCAGGAGTGTGTAAAACAAGTGTGCAAGGGTCATATATGTGTAAAGCACAGCATTCAGGGGTCAGTCTTACATAAGGCACAGAATGCAGGGGTCAGTGGTACATAACGCATGGAGTGCAGGAGTCAGGGGTAAGTAACTCACAGAGTGCAAGGGTCAAGAGTAAGTGACACATATATTGAAGGGGTCAGAGCTGTGTAACTCAATTCAATACTCTTCACTACTTTCCCCTCTCAATTAAACTCCCCCAACCCCAATATCCAGTATAATTTGCACCCTCACACCCCCAGCACAAAATCCCTCTGAAAGCCAAAATCTCCCCAAACAAAAATGCAAAAATTCCCTCCTCCTTCCAGGACAACCCACCTTGCTAAAATGTCCCATGCACAGGTCTTCATCCCCTTTCCCAACAAATCTCTTCTCCCAGCACAAATCTTCATCCTCCACCACTACCAGGTCATTATGGCCTCCAGAACAATTCTTCCCTCTCCCTAAACTTATCAGACCTCCGTTGCAGTGTGGCAAGCATGGGGGATCCTCCAAGACCCATTGGCTTATGTCACGTGACACACCAGAGCCGGGGAGGAACCTAAGGAAACTTTCCTTAAATCTGAATTCTATGTACAGGCAGCTCAGCGGGGAGAGATGCCGGCTGCGCAGTGGTGGGCAGTTGCGGTGCCATGACTTGGGGCACCAGGTCAGAAAGATGCAGGGGACATACTCTGGGTTCCCACCTACAGGCACCATTATTATATAATAATTATTGTGTTTAACTTGCCATTGGCAGTACATCTGTCAGTGCAAAAATTGGCACACACACAACACATGTTTAGCCCCAATGAATGAAATTCGGACCTCAGACTTGCCCCCAATGCATAAGCTTCATATACTGAAAGCCCGCTGGCGACATTTCAGTAATTTCAGGGAGGTTGGGGGGGAGGGGGAGTCAGTCTTTGTAACTGACAGGCTAGTGCATCCATTGGGAGGTGCATAGCCATGCCACTGATATGGATGGCAATGCATCATTGCATGGTACCAAACTCTAGGTGCGTTTCAATAACAGCTCTCCTAGCTGCACGTCGCTCGATAATTGTCATGTACGCCTGCAAACTAAAAGGAATGTCAGGGGTTCAAATCTCCCAGATCTGTGCAGATCTACAAAATAAAATAACCGTTGAGTGTTTTATAATAATAAAAAAATATTATTATTTTTTATATATGTATTTATTTAATAAATAAATATTTATGATTTAATATTTATTTCTGTATCGTTTTGAGTATGCAATTGAGCTTTGGTCGCCAAGCCACAAGAAGGATGTCCTTGAACTAGGAAGAGGTTAATCGAAGGGCAATACAATGAATGAGGGGGTTGAGTGACCTCAGCTATGAGGAACCATTACAAAAAATACATTCATTCATTTTAAAGAAGAGATGCATAAGCCTTCCTTTGGATCTATGAGTTGCGGGAACGCGTGCACGCACAAGATCGCATGTCATACTTTTAGGTGTGCTGCGTTGCCATATTTTATTAAAGTGACACTAAGCTTAGGAGTTAAATCTTAAAAATACATTCAAGTACCTGAACTAGCCCCAATGAATGCATTTCGGACCTCAGACTTGCCCCCAATGCATAAGCTTCATATACTGAAAGCCCGCTGGCAACATTTCAGTAATTTCAGGGAGGTTGGGGGGGAGGGGGAGTCAGTCTTTGTAACTGACAGGCTAGTGCATCCATTGGGAGGTGCATAGCCATGCCACTGATATGGATGGCAATGCATCATTGCATGGTACCAAACTCTAGGTGCGTTGTGCAATAGCATACACTAAATACACGGTAACATGTGAATAGCACAATGCTCCAGTGTGAGTGGGCCCTAAAATTGTGCCCGTTCACATATAAACGCCTATAGCTCAATGCTTCATGCTTATAAAGGTACATGAACAACTTTGGAGGCAGAATGGGGATTTTTGGGGCTCATAGAATTTAACGGAAGTGCCTGAAAAAGGCCTGAAAAATGTTTTGGCTGGAGATGCACTTTTAAGCAAGGCCAGTGCTCAATGTGCTCATTACCATTGTCAGTTAATGTACATACCTGTCTAAAGTCATGAGGCTTGGGGTTTTGGTATTTATCTTTCGGGTAAATTCCTTCTTTTACACACATGAGGCTGGCCTCGAAGGGACCAATATGTTTAAATTTTGTTAGGAACTTTCTGGGTCTTATTGCAGGGAGCTGTCCGGGGTTCCAGGCACCTGGAATCATGTCCTGCTTATTCCACTGCTTGGTGTCTTCGGTTATATTTTTCTTCTCTTGAATATCAAATTCATTGGACCTCCTGGGTAACATCAATGACCTGTACTGCTTGACGCTGAAGTCGGGAGGTTTCCTCATCCAGATATTATCATCTGGGATCTGCTTTGGGTTAGTGAAATGCTCGCTTCTTTCCACTGCCAGTCTTCTATTGGCGCTGAATTTCACTTGTCGGGCAAACATATAGTGATGGTCATGTTCAGATGCTTGTATCAGCTCGGCTGACATTGTAACTTTTCTCCTAAACAAATCGCTTTAAAAGAAAGAAGAAAATCAAAAGCAAAGGCTTAAAAACACCAAAAATATTATTTCCTAAGGATCAGTTTCTTTGGTTGTTTATAAATGAATCTTCAGTTTTGTTGATCAATTTTACCCATTAGAAGGATTTCAGCAAACACAAATACTTAAGCTGTTACTCAGCCTTCTGAAATAATAAACATTTCAACCCCTGCATTCCTTCAGGGTCCATTCACAGTTAAAGCCTATCTCTGGGGGGGAAAAAACTCCCCTTGAATAAGGGCTGCCACCACACTGCAAGGGTTAATTGCTTATGAAGGTCTAGGGTAGCTGGACCTGATCTCTGTCTGTGAAAGGTTCTTATTCATCCAGGTTGTGGTATATCCGTAAACAATTGATCAAGGCAACTGGACTTGCTGTGTTTTTCTTGAAGACGTTCTGCTGGTCATCTGACTAGCTTTCTCAAGTCATTCAAAGCCATTCACTTCCTGCATTGAAAGGGCACAATGACTTCAGTTTGGCAAAGCAATGCACACTGGGATTGCCTTGTCATCAGCAGAGCATTGCTGGGAAATCTCATCTGTAATCTCACAAGATCTTAGGGAAAGACATTTTCTTCCCCTGAGATGATGTGCATGGTCACATGTCCTAGTCACATGTGCCAGTAATCCAGGAAGTAAAAGGAGAGCTAGTAATGTGTCCTTAGTAAAGATAGCCACTGTCAGAAGACTGGGGAAGAAAATAGAAATAAGGAATGCAAAGAATACAAAGCCGGCAATCATCTAGAAGTATGTATTTGTAGCAGGGGTGTAACAATCGCCATAGCGACCCAGGCAGCCGCTATGGGGCCCGGGGCACAGGGGAGCACAGGGGGGCCCGGCCAGATGCTGTGCGGGCCGCCTGGGTTGCTATGGCATCTTATGCTGGTGGCTTTCACTGGAGGCTGTGAGAAGAATGCACTGCTGTTCAGATCACTTCTCACAGCCGCTGCGGAGTTAATGAGAGCCAGCAGCGGCGGTGGAGCAGGCTGGACCTGGCAGTGGAGGAGACGGGGCCCGTGGTCGGTAGCAGAGGAGGAGGCGGGGCCCGGTGACGGAGAAGGAGGTGGGCCCGGCGACGGAGGAGGAGGCGGGGTGCCATCAGCGATCGTGAAGGAAGAGGAGGCGGACAGGTAAGGAGTGTGACCAGACCACCTAAGGGTATCCCTGCAGAGCCCACCATAGAGAGTCTATGGTGGGCTCTGCATGGTCTCCATCAGGTGGGCTGCGTGAGATCTCAAGTGGGCTATGCAAGGGGCATAACTAGAAGTCACAGGGCCCCATACAAAATTTTGCTATGGGGCCCTGTGATTTCTAGTTACGCCCCTTGTTGGTAGATTGTCATTACTAAACATTTCTAAAGGTGTGTTTGTTGTTATTTTAAAGATATGGGTAAAGGTCCGCTTTATTGAACCGCAAACAAAGTAAACAGACCCTTAAGATTTTTTTTTCTAGGGTGCTAAATTTCTACATGAAGAACAAAGCACAATCGTCTGCCATCAGCTCTCCTGACGATTATTTTCAATATGTGATCAGCAATTTGTTTCATTCCAGTAATATCTATTGGGCAGCTCTTAGCCCCACACCGGCGTCCATAGGTGCAGGTACCCCACCCCCTGAAAGGAATAGGATAGCTAGTTATATGAACAAATTGGGTTTTTTGAGGTGACCCGAGAACACAAAAAACTAAATAAATCTAAAACTTTAACATTTTATGATATCTACAGGTTAAAAACATCAAATCTTAAAAGCAAAATACATTATACAGTCAATGATGTGTAAGAAGTCCAACAATAAGTGTGCCGCCCCAATAGGGGCATAGAATATGAGATGCATAGCCTCAGTTAATATTAGCATTGCTATATAGGTTAGAATTTATATAGTGTGATTTGCCTAACTATTTTCTCATAGCTAAATCCATGTGTTATGCTATGCTGCCATCTAGTGGCCTTTTGTTGTAACAAACATGCTTTCTGTAATTATTCCTCATGTATTTCCCCCTAGTGTACGCCCCTTCCTTCTTCCTGTGTGCAGTACTTCCTGTGTCATGGCCACAGTTAAGGCCACATGTAACAAGGGCACACATGTAATCTGCACAGTACGTAGGAAAGGCATCATTTTCTGACCGCACAATACTATCACCATTCATCTGCTGTTCCTATCATCTGCTGTAACCCTGATGTTAAAGAATAAACACCTCTTTTGAATGAATCGGTATTGACGAGTTCAGGTATCTGACGAGGATTGTCCGCAGTGAGTATATCTGCTTATACAGGCCAGGCATAGAGGTCTCAGCAAGGGATATATTTCGCTATCACAACGATCGGAGTCAGAATAATAAGAACACACAATCATGTTGACAGTTCACTCGGAGAGTCTAGTGCTGTCTCCAGACCTCCTCTTAGATGTGAGAAGGTAGTTCAATGGATGTGTCACACGATGCTGGTTCAATGGGTCCAACTCTAATGTTAGCTTCCTCAGGGGAGAGACTCTCACACTTAAAGGAGAACTATGGGGTCAGGGCTTTTCCCCATAGTTCTCCTTAGGGTAACGGGAGGACACAAACTAGCGTCCTCCCGTTACCCTAGGCTCAGTATACCGCAAGCTACAGCTCGTGGTATACTGAGACGCCGCAGTCGGAGCGGATCCCGACATCGATGTCTGGATCCGCCCAGCTGCGTGAGTGACAGCTGGCTCTGCCTTCCTAGAGGCAGAGCCAGCTGTACCTGCCCCCTCCCCCGTCCGTTCCGCCAGTCAGCGCTGGCGGATCGGAGCGGGGAGGGGGGAATCCAGCCCTTCCCCTGCCATGGCAGAGAGCCATGACAGGATCAAGAGGTGAGCGAACCCGGTATGTGTTCGCTCACCTCCCGATCTACTGAGCCGACCTGTGACAGTCTCATTGTCACAGGTCGGCTAGGATCACTCACCTCATAGTTCTCCTTTAAAAGTCATGAAGTATTAGAAGTTATGAAGTACTGGGGTGCAGGAGACAGGCATCCACCGTCACCTAATATGGTAGGGGGGACCCAAACCCCCAATTCTTTGTTACAAATAACCAATAGACATGTGCGATTAGTTTCGTTCCGAATCAAAATTCGGACACATTTTCCGAAATTCAGACAGACACATCCAAATTTCCGAATCCCAATGCATTTGAATGTGTCCAAATACGAATTTCCATTTCCGAATTTCGGATCCCGTCCGAATTTCGTTCAAAAACTAAACTGAATGGGACATGTGACTTTTCTGGCCAATCAGATGTGTTTTTCGGTTTAATGCATCAGAATGGGTCTGAAGGCGAATTTTCGTTACGGCAACATGGGAGCCATATACAGTATATACTAAAGCTGAGGCTCCCAGACCCGAATTGCATTCGGGATCCAGATTCCCGAATGCATTTACATTGGGGTCTAGGAGATTCAGCTTTAGTATTAATATCTGTATATAGTTTATGTGGTAGTCGTAACGTCCGAAACCCAAACCGAATTGAATTTCGGATCTGAATCCCAAATTATGAAATATCCGAACCAAACCGAATTTTTCCGCAGCTTACATGTCTAATAACCAACCAATTTGTTTCTTCCCATTTATATTTTAGAACTGATTATTGTAACAAAGAATTCTATTACCACCTTGGAGGTAAATATCCACAACAACGGACGCGGTTTGCTGTATCTCCGCGCACAGCCGGCGTTCATCACAATAAATATTTGGTAGAATCGCTTACCTCCGGGGATATAATTTATTAATCGGTATCTCTTCTTCATTCAGGTTGCAGAGCTCCTGCACTCAGGAAAACCTCATCTTCTGATCTGAGGCATCGATGTGCCGCACCAAACGGAGTCACTAGGAGACGGAACACTAGCTGCTCCCTCCGGCCACTGACAGAATAATAACTGCGGCCGGACTCGCTGTGCCACTTGTGAAAAGAGCATTGATGGGAACTTAGCAACTATGTAACTACCATTGTTCTAGAATGGAAAGCCTCTTATCGTGACTTCCTCCGAGAAAACATGTCAGGGCAGGACTGGAGAAACGTTGTATACTGAACCCGATCTATGAGCATAAGACAAAGCTCCTGGCTGCAGTTCAGTACCGCCATAGACTGCTTTGGGATCAGGTGTATACCTATAAGTGGACATTTCGCTTGCGCTGTGCTCCGTGTATCATAAACAATCGCCATTTCCTAAATGTAAAATGTTGTTTTTTCTATGCTTTGTTACATTTCTTTGCAACCACTTCCTGTCCTGTCTAGTGATGGCTCTGGGCATTTCTCAAGGCGGGTTTCCAGATGGTGACAACATTATGGAAATGTTAAAGCTGAATTCCGGGATAAGCAAATATGGTCTAAATAGAGGCATGTGTGTTCTTATTGATCATATTGATATCTTGCTGTACTTCCTCCAGATCTGTGCAGTAATCCAGTGTGACAGTTGGAGCTTCCTGTAATAAAGACCGGTCACTGCTGCTCTCTCCTTGTGCAGGGTGACTGGTCTTGTCTTCATCTCTTCCTGTAATAAAGACCAGTCACTGCTCTCTCTCCTTGTGCAGAGTTACTGGTCTTGTCTCCGCCCCCTCCTGTAATAAAGACCGGTCCCTGCTGCTCTCTCCTTGTGCAGAGTTACTGGTCTTGTCTCCACCCCTCCTGTAATAAGGACCGGTCCCTGCTGCTCTTTTCTTGTGCAGGGTGACTGGTCTTGTCTCCGCCCCCTCTTGTAATAAAGACCGGTCCCTGCTGCTCTTTTCTTGTGCAGGGTGACTGGTCTTGTCTCCACCCCCTCCTGTAATAAAGACCACTCACTGCTGCTCTCTCCTTGTGCAGGGTGACCGGTCTTGTCTCCGCCCCCTCCTGTAGTAAAGACTGCTCACTGCTGCTCTCTTTTCTTGTGCAGGGTGAGGTGACTGGTCTTGTCTCTGGCCCCTCCAGTAATAAAAAACAGTCACTGCTGCTCTCTCTTCTTGTGCAGGGTGATTGGTCTTGTCTCCGCCCCCTCCTATAATAAAGACCAGTCCCTGCTTCTCTCGCCTTGTGCAGGGTGACTGGTCTAGTCTCCGCCCCATCCTATAATAAAGACCAGTCCCTGCTTCTCTCGCCTTGTGCAGGGTGACTGATCTAGTCTCCGCCCCCTCCTATAATAAAGACCACTCACTGCTGCTCTCTCTACTTGTGCAGAGTGAGTGGTCTTGTCTCCGCCCCCTCCTGTAGTTTTCTGCAGGTAGCCTGTAGTGCGTGGGGTCTGCTGGGCCCCTCCCACAGCTCTGCTCTCTGCACAGGCTATGTACAGCACAGTGATTGTGTCACCGTTACAAGGCAATATCTAGGCCTGCAAAGCCATTTGCATCAGACAAAGCTTTTTTTTTCATCCTTTATGGCTACCGAGGAATATATTGATATGAACACTTTTGTGCCCGGAGTTCAGCTTTAAATCTATTAAAAAAAAATCATTTACAATAATAATATTGTGATGGGGTGTATTCAGAGAGGACTCAGGTATATATAATTAATAGAAATGTATTGAAATTCTTCTTCTTAAAATCATTTAGTTAGATAAAATTAATTTAGAATAGTGCTCGTATGCATCTCAAGATTGCATTTCTCTATCCCTAGGACTATTGCTGATTCATATATTTACATACCATAATACTTTCAAAATGTATACATTCATAAACATATTTGTATTTCATACAGTTCTTTACAGATATAGCACTATTTGATGAATCCCCTAGCCGTTACGCTCACATAGGCTTCTTCAGGGGGGTTATTTTGTTTGTTTGTATATATCAGTTTTCAGCAATAATCAGTTTTTAAACATATAATGCAATGCATATTACTATTAATACATAGGATAGAATAAACATATAATACAATATATATCAATACAATTCAATTCATTTCTAATATATAAATATATACAAATTCATAATTTTTCATTAGTCACTAAAATATATTATTTTTCATTATTAACTTGACTCAACATTAATTCATAGGATACATTATTCAGATTAATTGTTTGTCAATCAAAGTCAGTTCATCTCTAATACATATATTTGATCATTTTCATTTATCATTAATTTGTCCATTATCAACCTCATTAGACATTAGTTCATTAGTTCATGGGATGTATTATTCATTAATTAGATTCATCCAGCATACATAAAGTGATAATTCATCATCATTAATTATTAAATCATATATTTATTTATTTTGGTCTAGATATGTCAGAGAATATTATTCACCATATATGCATATTGTTAGTTTTATTACCTTTGTTTCTATTCAGCTATTGATCCAGGGAAATTTACCAATGCTCAATCATGTAAGTATTTATATTTAAAGCTCAACTGCGTTCATGGAAAATGATATACAGTTAAATAGACATTGTACTAACTGGCTCTCCGTGCAGAATGTGCGTGCTCGCTGATTTCAAATGTAAGAGTCTGGTGTGAATTGGGGATGGTCCTCTGTTGTTGTTTTTTTTAAATAGTCTTTTATGACATTCAGAAAAAAAATTATCAAAATTTGGATTCATTATTTCTTTCATTCTGAAATTTGGATGCATCTGAATGTCCGAATACGCTGATATTCGTCCGCATTTAAGTTCGGAACGCAACGAATCGCACATGTCTAGCAACAAGATTTCTAGTTAACCAGTGGAGCCAGTGGCAGAATTATCGCCATAGCGACCCAGGCGGTGGCTTTGGGACTCGGGAGACAGGGGAGCCCGGCCAGAATGAGGAACAAAGGGGTCCGCCTGATGCCGTGCGGGTCGCCGGGGGTCGCTATGGCATCGCAGGCTAGCTGTCGCTTGTGGCTGTGAGGAGGAATGCGCTGCTGTCCAGATCACTGACAACCTGTCATCTGTGCAGCGGCGCATTCCTCCTCACAGCAGCTACTGAGTCAGTGACAGCCAGCAGCTTGCAGAGGAGGAGGCCGGAGTGCGGTGGAGGAAGAGGCCAGGCCCAGCGACGGTGGTGGAGGCGAAGCCCACCAGTGATTGAGGAGGCAGGGCACGGCGGTGGAGAAAGCTGACAGGTAAGAGGTGTGACCAGCCCACCTGAGACCCTGTAGAGCCCACCATAGGATCTCAGGTGGGCTCTGCAAGGGGCATAACTATAAATCATAGGACCCCTTAGAAAATGTTGCTATAGGGCCCTGTGATTTCTAGTTACGCCCCTGGTTGGAGTGCACATAAAGCGCAAAGGTGTGAACGGGGAATTAAAGGGAGGAATACCTGTTATGTCATCCAGCCAAAAATTTGCTTTTTTTAAAACTTTTTTAAAGTGAACTTTTTTAGCACTGCCCAGACCACCACTTAACATCGAATCTGTTTTTGATTAGGACAGTATAGAGGACGCGTGTTCTGTGTATTGGTCACTCTGTATAGATGACAGCACCATATGGTGAAGGTTTTATAAACACTTGCAGGATGCTCTGTTCTGCACCCCTCGCACTACGCAAAAATGCTTCGCTTTCTATGTTTGCAATCTTTCACTGGATTGTGTAACGCGTGTCTAAACCACAGCAGGTCAATAGATTGAAATAGCAGGAAAGTCTTTTATTGGCATCCTGGACATGCTTGTAATCTGGTGACCTGCGGCTCATCGATCGGGGCCCCCTGACAAACAATCTTTTAATGTCTTTCCTATTGTATCTAATGTTTACAACATGCGTCCGACAATCATAAGTTCTATACAGAAACATTCAGCTTTCAGCCCAGAACAAATGCAGAAGGCGCATGGCTGCTATTCTGACAACGCCCACCAGGTGGCGAAATAACGCCAACACTGGAAATGCAATATACAGTGCAAGTCCGCTAAAGAAACTTAACCCCTTGAAGCCCAGGGTGTTAAAGGAGAACTATGAGGTGAGTGCTTATCACTCACCTCATAGTTCTAGCCGACCTGTGACAATGAGACTGTCACAGGTCGGCTCAGTAGATCGTGAACCAGCACATACCAGCGTTCGCTCACCTCTCAATCCTGTCACGGCTCTCTGCCGTGACAGGGGAGGCGCTGGATTCCCCCCTCCCCCGCTCCGATCCGCCAGCGCTGACTGGCGGAACGGGCGGGGGAGAGGGGGCCGGTACAGCTGGCTCTGCCTCTAGATAGGCAGAGCCAGCTGTCAGTCACGCAGCTGGGCGGATCCCGGCACAATTGTCGGGATCCGCTTCAGCTGCCGCGTCTAAGTATATCGCAAGCAGCTAGTTTGTGTCCTCCCGTTACCCTAAGGAGAACTATGGGGAAAAGCCTTAACCCCATAGTTCTCCTTTAAACCCCCTTCCTGGCCAGGCCATTTTTCAGTATTGATCGCTGTAGTACTTTGACTACATTTATTCAGTCATGCAACTCCATACTGAAATACATTTTATATAATTTTTTTGGAACAGATAGAGCTTTCGTTTTGTGGTATTTATTCAGCACTGCGTTGAAAATTTTTTTTTTTTACTATATAAAGATAAAAAATACCAAAAACTGTTTTCCCTAAGTTATGTTATGAAACGTTTTTATTATTAGACAATTTTTTGGGTAAAATATAAGAGACGGGGTCACGTTGGGTAAATAAACAAAAGGATACCTTGTCACGCTCCTTACCGGAAAAACCCAAGGTTAAATGAGGTGGGTGCTCGTAGTGACCTGCGGATGGCGCCGCCACACAGCAAGAAGATAAATGGATGTCACCAGCACACCAACAGTATTGCAGTCCAAAAAGTTTGTTTATTGGAAAGTCATGTCACCAAAACGAGCGCTTTCAGTGCCACGCAGGGTCCCCTTCATCAGGCTTAGCAATGACGTCGGGTAAATAGACACCAAACCTGTCTAGCCTTAAAATTGCGCACGCCCGCGAACTCTCCAAAAA